AGGACATTGCATTTTTATCGATAAACATCTCGTGATATTTCTATGAAACGAAAACTTCGTAGCTCTCGAGGAGGCGAGGGAAGAGATGGAGGAATTTGCATTTACTTCTTTGCAAAGTTATTCTATCAAGGATCATACAGCTCCGTTTTTTAATCGTCTTCAAGATATCTGTCGTTCGTAGCACGTGTGGATTTTTCGCGTCCACCAGACGAGCGAACGTTTTCCTGAAAAAAAAAAACGCCTCTACGCGGTTCTAACTTCGAGATCTGCTTAGACCTCGCGATTGTCTCCCGGTAATCCGATGAATACCGATGTCGGACATTTGATCTCGGGCCGACCGGGTCTTTGCGCGCGCGTTCCCTCACGCACGATCGCCGAAGCGAGAGGAACGCGTCGATCGGCGACGGGCGCGGATCGTGCGCGGACGGGTCGATCGTCGCGTTATAGAATTTCTGCGGGTTCGGTAATGGATAGGCGTATTATGTCCCCCGCTTCGTTCGCCACGCATCGCGGCGCGTACACCGTTTCCAGGCGGGAAGACGCGCTGCGAGGTGGCAGAAAAACGGGGAAGGAGGCTCGGCCACGTGTTGCGAGCGGGACGCGCGCGAAAGAGCGAAACTCCGAAAAAGAAGAGGGGAAAAAAAAGAGAGAGAGAAGCGGCGCGATATCGAAGACGGAAGCGTAGAGTTTCCGGTTCTAGTCCGGCTAAGGTCTCTCCCGTAGTCTTTTTTTTTTTGCCCTCTCCCGGAAGTAATATCGGCGGATCGATTTGCATCGTATCTCGCGGAGCGGGGCTCACGGAGATACCGATCGGCCTCGCGCCGGGGTGTGGAGCAGCCAGGATACGTAACGGGTAAAGCTACGAGTTCACCGCTCCCTCGACCGGGAGCTTTTACGGCAGTGAAAGTGCATTTTACTCGCGCCGGGTCCAGCGGCGGCTCGCTCGTTCTGTGGCGCGCCTAAAGCCCGCGTCACACTAATTTCTCTCAGGCCAGCGGCACACGGCGCTTCTTTCCCCCCCGCTGGATTGCTTGCAATCTAGTAAATTACTATAATTGCACCACTCCGCACTGAGGATTTCCAGTAATTTACCAAATCGCGGGCAATCCAACAGGAAAAATTAGCATCGTGTGCCGCTGGCTTTATTTAGTCCCCACGGATATATCGACCTCTCGATCTATTTCGAGAGCCGCCGTTTGAATCGCGCGATTGAAAGGTCAGTACATCCGTGGAAGCTGAATAAGAGAACTTTAACTTGCAATAGAAAATATCGCGGCAAGAAATGAAAGACGGATTGCGCACAGTTTGTGTTTTCCTCCTTCGTGAGATTTGAATAGCGTTAAAGAGGCCTTGCGGATCTCATTGCGATTCCTCGGGCGTGCTATTTTCGAAAGGAGTCTCGCGGCTCCTTCGATGGAGATTCTTTACGTGCGACACGAAGGATTAAAAAATTTAATTTCGCGCGCCGTATTATCGCGAACTGAACGAAAAACAAAATTGCTGCAGCTTCAAGAACAGTTTGCACGCGTCGCGAGAAAGAGAGCGGTTTAATTTTCTTTCTCGAATCGTTTCCAGGAGGCCGCGTCGAGGCGGCCGCTGCGTTTACCTCGGTGATCACCGGCGCGGGCTTTTAGCAGTTTACCAACGTTTCGCTCTAACCGACCTCTCACTCCCAATTTGCCTCTTACGACTCTTTCCGCAGGATACGATCGAAATCGTCCAGGAGGATTTTTATCTTCCCTCGTGAAAGCGTAACGCCGGATTCTAATTGCCTCGTCGTAGGCCTCGGAGGCCCCGTGTCTCGTAACTAATAGCCGAGCCGCGATCGACTTTGCGAAAGTCTCGAGAATTTACGCGAGCCGAGCACGACACGTGCCTCTGGTGGCGGATAGTCACGCTTTAACGCGAGACGTTATCTTAATTGGGTGAAGGGCACGGCACGTGTGTTGTGTATCGCACACGAAACGGCGCTTTGTGAAAATCAATAGCTCGCGGCCGCCAAGTTTTAGCACTTTGACGAGATGCGTTTATTGATAATCGCGATTGGCACCGACGAGACAACGGCAATGGACTGAATGGCCGGTCGATGCTGCGATAACTAAAATTGTGCATTAATTTCCACCTTTGATCCGAATTTGACCACCTTGCCCCAGTACTTTGGATGGAGCGACCAGTGCGCAAATAGGCAAGTTTCCAAATCGCGCACTTCGCCAGCAACTTGTCATTTCACCAGAAGCCACTCGACGATTTGACATTTGCTCCGAAATATCAAGGCCGCCTCGCGCGACCGGTTCTCGCCGCCAAAGTTTACCGTTAAGCATGACATATCGTGTTATATGAACGGATAAACGTACACAGGTGCAACGGAGGAAAAATTGGGCGTACTTTCAAGAGCTTGCTCTCTAAAAGTCAATCAGCGGATTATCACTGAAAACACAGTGCACAGTCACTGACTTGCAGTTAGGGTGAAGGCACCTAATATCGCCTAGAACGTAATATCGCCACTCGTCATATCTCGTGAACAAAGTTTTGTTCGAAATATTTTTCATTTGCCTAATACTTTTTTTATAACTTTTTCAACGTTCAGCTTGTACAGGACTTTTTTACTTGATGTGGTCTCAGGAATATGCTGTTGCCATAGTGCTCCAATTATTGAAACTTTTCGTGTATATAAATTTTGTGTATGTTTCAATACACAAAACTGTTCAATAATTACTGGAAGAAAATCGCAGTGGTATACTTATAATTGTAAATGAGCAACTATTCGCCTTCGTTTTCAGTGATAAGCCACTGATGGATTTTTAGAGAGTGACGTCCGGATGCCGGCCGCGCTCTCCGCGCAGGAAATCGACGTTTCTCTTTCGCGTCGGCCAATAAAATGCCACGTTCGATATTATTATTAATGACGCGGTCGATTGCCGGCAAATCGACGTCCGCGTATGTTACGTTGCCGATTCGCCGTGGATATAAATTACGGGTGGGCCGCGGGAGGCACGTGACATTTGCATATCGCTAAGTGGCGGCCGAACGTCACGTCGAATTCCCCGTGCGATTCAATGCACGCGCCGCGGCGTCGCGATGCATCTTTCATAATGAAATTACCGTGCGTGTCGCTACGTTCGGCGTGCCTTTCATAAACATTTTTCCATCGCATCCGTCGCGAGGAGAAATACCTGGCCCGAAATAGACCGCTTCGTTATTAGAATAGAAAGGACTCTATTGATCCTTTCATATTCCATTTTTAATGTCGCACACCTTCCATTTTATCGGGGCTCGTTGTCGTTTAAACAACACGGACGTCGCTGCTCGGCGTTTAAATCATTTATGTGGGAAGACGTGGGAGAAGCCGAGCGCTTTATCCCCTCGCGAAGATGAAACTGCACATCATCGATTCTCTCCTTCTCTCGTCCCATTCTTATCTCCGCGTGCCGCGTGTAGAAACTGTTACGTTCTATCGCGAGGAGATTTCCGACCTCGCGATGTTCCACCTTGGACCGCGCAAATGTGCGGAATGTGCCTCGAGCGTTTTCATCTTCGAGAGAAAAAGAAAATGCATGGCAGGACCGTTAATTTCCCCGAGGAAAAATTTATCGTTGCCACAATTCGGAAAAGAAATCGCGGGAAAAATTCTTTCCGTTCATTTTACGCGAGCAGTTCGGCGAAATCTCGAAGATAATTTATTCCGGAAAGCCTTCGAGATACTCGAGATAAACGGGATCGGCTTTGTTGCGGCGGTTGTACCACTCGTGGTTAACGTCCACGTTTGTCTCTTGCAGACCGGGACGACGGCTCTGTTCTTCGCCGCCCAGGGCGGTTACATGGACATCGCGGGTCTGCTCTTGGAGCACGGCGCGATCGTGGATTCGTGCAGCATAGTAAGTAGAAGGGTGGGCGGGACAAGCAGGTATTAGCGCGAGCGTGTAACGCGATCTCGCCGCGCCTCAGCGCTAAACGTGTCCCACGTGGATTTCAGGACGGCGGCACGCCGCTCTTCGTCGCATGCCAGTACGGTCATCTGGACGTCGTGGAGGGCCTGATAGAGAGAGGCGCCAGCCCGAACGCGCATATGAAGGTAGGAGGACACCCGGCTCGGAGTAGATCCGTTCGCCAACTGCGGCTCCCAGCGTGTTCGGCTGAAGAAGCTTGAGTGCCCCAATAAACGTCCACTACAGTTGCGTAGCATCAATGTTGTAATTTCTCACTCAACATAAACGTAATCCAACACATGTTGTACGTAACAGTTACATTGTCGAGTGGGAAATTATAAGCTGGTGTTCACTGAGACTTGGCTCTACGAGTAACAATGGAATATCTTAGTTCAATTACTCGGTTAAATGCAAGTCGGATTCTCTTGTTAAATTTATGAAGATTGAGGTCCGGTCTCGCCAACGTCGCTTAACTTTAATCTTGGCTTAATTCATTCTTTGCCTCTGTCTAAGAGAATAGAAAGCGACAATGGTTGAAATTAATTAAGGTCAGTGTTAAGCGACGTTAACGAACCCTAAGAACGATTCAAAGCAGTTTAGCCGGGCACGTGGCTTCATGTATCTTCATACTGTCGCATTTGGGGTAACGGACATTAGTATCGAGAGAGGAAGCTAAGAGACAATTTACCTTGTTAGGACGGCGCCACGGCGTTGTTCATCGCCGCCCAGAACGGCCACCTTCGTATTCTGGAGGTCCTCCTGGAGCACGGCGCGAAGACGGACGCGGTGAGGACGGACGGCGCCACGCCGCTGTGGATCGCGTCGCAGATGGGACACGACCACGTCGTCAGGAGGCTGCTGAGAGCTGGCGCGAAGGTCGACGCTACGAGACACGTAAGTCCCGCGTAGATCGCGTGTCGCCGAGAGCGAGTCCATTGTGCCACGCACGCGGGGTTGTCATCGCGTACAATTTCCTTTCGCAGGACGGTGCAACTCCGCTCTTCAAAGCCGCCCACAAGGGCCACACCGCGGTCATCGGCGAGCTGCTCAAGTACCGTCCCTCGCTCGGCGTGCTCCCGGTAAGCGAGTAACTGGGGGAGGAAGAGAGTCGACGAGTCTGAAAATTCGCGTATAATTTTAAGCAAACTTTAATGCATAACTTGATGTATTCTACACGCACATAATTTCCTCTTACGCGCAAGTAACTATTAAAGCTTCTTACGGTTTTCAGAACGGCGAAAGTGCGCTACATGCGGCAGCCTTGACGGGACACATGACGGTCGCGAGGCAGCTCGTGGGAGCGGGGGCTGATCCCTTGCTCGTGAATCAGGAAGGCATCACGCCGCTTCAACTGGCCGTCCGACACTCGCAGACGCAGGTCGCCAATTACCTGAAGGATAAAGTGAGAGTGCGAACCGCATCCTGTTAGCAATCTTCCTCTGTCCTATATTATTAAGAAATTTTACATTATAGATGTGAACGAAAAAAATATGTATGTACTATACAGTTAAACTCCGCAGTATGTATGCTAACAGTATACATCATACTACCATATCGAGAATCTCGAGACGTTGTTCGACGAGCTCGACTCAAAGATCATAGTCTTTCTAAGCAGGATGTAGCGTACGCAAATGGAGTGTCGTGAAAAAAAAAGAGAGTAGCCTCGCTTTAAAGTCGACAAGAGTTTTATTATTGGAAAAGAGAATGTTATATAATGTTTAAATGTGAAATGTTATTTTATTATTTTATTATATATGTTATTAAAAAGTATATATTAAAAATGCGAGGCATAATATATAATATATATATATATATAGGTATATCTTTTTATCGCTAATAAAACTCTTATCGACGCTGAAAATAAAATTGCGCTCCTCTTTTTCGTACGCCACTCTATGTTACACAAGTGATACCAGTAATCACACGAAATATAAGTGACAATGAAGAGAAATTTAATTTCGTGTAGTAATATTAGCGGATACGCTAAGAGCGTAAATAAGTCGATTATATGGAGACTGCGAGCAGGAATCCGTCTTTGCGAAAGTGATCAGGTCTGTTTGTTTATGTCGTTCTTTCCAAAGCCAGTTACATTTTAAGTACAGAAAATAATTAAAAAAAGTGCGATTAAAACAGACAGACCCATTGTTATGTAGTGTATATAAACATGATACCATTTTGTTCCGTTGTAAATTTTGATAAAAATATTTTAATACAGTTTTCTATTGTCGGACGTACAAAATGGCGTCGGAATGTTGCGCACGTCGAAAAATGATGCAGCTCTTTCTTTCCATTATATTCCACAGTATAGTATAGATTTCATAAACTTTACCTATTAGCAGTAATCTAATGTGCAATGAAAATTCAACGTGCATCAGCAGTCTGTCTACGAAATAATTATACTGACTGCAGTATAATTGTTGGGGAAGCATTATCGGTTGATTTATTGAAATTGACGCGTTTACAAGACTGACTGATTTGCCTTGAAATATATATTTTCTTATTATGCAGGTATAAAGTGCAAACCTTTTTATCAGTTCCATTGTGCGAGGGTATGTGAGACGATAAGGTTATACTTGCCACGTTTGTTCAGAACACATTTTATTAAGATACGACAGTATCAATGCACACCGGGTAATTTCCTTTAAAAAATGATAATGAATAAACGTACGAAATGTCGCGTGCGTTACAAATCTTCGGTTATCGAAAAAGAAGTTTCTACTGAAATTAGAGTACGCAGTGATACTTAAATATTTTTTAGCGTTGTAGAAAAGTAATAAGTACCCGTCCTGTCTTCCTAACAAACAGCACACGGTTCATTAGGTGTAGTAATCATTAAATTGTTAACGAAAAAGTGCAAAAAATCAATAAAGTGCTCTATCAAGGATGTAGACGACTCCTACTAGCATATAAAGATATATGTTACAAATATACTCCGTTACGAAACAACTTCATTGTTCCTTCGTAAAATATATTATGTGCGCATATAATTTTATACAATTATCGCTGAATTGTTTGTACTTTTCTCTAAGGTTTATCATTAATTTTCTCTTGCTATATAACTAATCTATACATACGCATGCTAAATCATTAACCAGGTTTGCTTCGCGCGTTATCACAGAATAGTTCACGCAAAATTCGAAACGCCATAAATTACAATTACATTTCAAACTATATATCGCTTAAATAAAAAATACATTTTAAATAGAAACTTTTTGTTTACTCTGTGATGCTAATACTGTAATAAAGCTAAATTTATGACAATAAATTATGTCCAAGTATTTCCTTATTTTTATGAAATTAACTATTCTTACATACCAAATAAAAAATAATTTAAATAATTTATTGCTTGGTCATAATAATAAAAGCAATATATTGTTGACTTCGAAAAAATAATTTAATGAGACTTTTAAACGCTACCATTATTTCAATATATATGTATGTATTTTGTTTCATTAGTTTTTGTTCTCGTCTTTTATGTATTAAGTTAAAAATGTAAAAAATTTTTAGATAATTCGAATGTCTTGTCAGGATCCAATGCTTATTAAATCAATTTTACAATTGAACTTTCATTTCAGAGCGTGTGTTTAAATGTCTCATAAAGAAATATATAAATATTTTTATCAGGAGAAAATAACTGGCAGTTTTTCCTTGCATATGAGCAGTATAAATTAATTTAAACTTACTGATAAAGTCAGTGTCGAAGATATGTCTTATATCATCAAAAGTTCTGTTTTAAATAAGTGTTATTGATTTGAATATAATAAAAAAGAATCAATGGCGATACTGTGTTCGTGTTATTTAACACGAATTCTTTTAAAACTGTGATAAATATTTCGTTTTTAATATTACTCGATAAACGAAAGACAAAACAAAACTTTTAACGTGATATTGTGCCGCTCCTCACTGAATTAATAATTTAAATAAAAAAACCGTGTAATTGCGTCGGCCTTCTGGCGTACAGTTGTCAAGTGCTCATTTCCTATTTCATTTCAGATGCAAAGTATCTTCTACCTATGTGCACTTTAGAAGCGCGTCTCGCGTTTCAGTCGAAGAGACACGCGTGGAGTTTCTCCGTCGGCGACGATATATCGACTACGATGTACGAAGCGGCGAAACGAATTTGACCAGATATTCATAGTGCACTGATAAGAAAGATAACGAAGCACGCCGGTATTTATTCCACTCACAGAATTATCAGTTCCATGCCGATACTAAAGGAATACTCATCATGATTCGCGATCGTATGCCCGATTTGCGTGCCGTTAGTATTTTTACTTTTTCTTTAGTTTTTAGAAATGTGTTGAAAAGAACAAGACCTCGGTTGTTGAATGTACTGCCTTGAGCAATGCGTTCGCGCATGAGTCACACGTGCAAATAAAAGTTTCGATTAGACGAAAGCTTCGCTTTAGAATCAACTTGGAACTTACCGCTGTTCTCGATCGTGATTAACGAGTACTAGTACAAATAAATTATACGGCCTGTGTAAAATTATCACATAATGTATTAACTTCTCCAGAGCCGAAGTAACAGCAGTACTTTTGGCAGAGGATTCTTGCAAGACGTACACCTTCAAATAGCGCAGAATAAAAAGCTCAAGGAACTGCTCGACGAAGTACGTATAAACGCTATCGAGTTCTCGTCAAACTCGTCCCTCGACTTACGCGGTCAGAAAACGTATCTTTAATGGATAAACGCTGATACCGAAACTTAAATTAAAAGTGCCAAGCATTTTTAGTAGCGAGGATGGTAACTTCGAATTAAATTAAGTGGATTAATTGACTGAATCCAATTAAAAAGAGCTGACTGTTTTGTACTGATTCTCAACCGCGCAAAAGACAAAAGCCACGTGAAACGGACATTCTGCGAAAATCGAGGGACGATTGTACCTTGCACTCTCTCATAATCGAAATAATCGAGAAACACCGTATTAATGTAGGCCGAGGAAATACGCACTCTGATCCACCTGACAATAGAAAACGTTTCCATTTTGAAGAACTTGCACAACAATATCTTGTCGCATACGAATAAAGGTAAGCGGCAGTATCTAAATATGATATAAGAAATTTATCTTAATAAAATTTATATATATACATATATATATGTGTGTGTGTGTAATATATGTATATATCTTATTTAGACTTACAAAACGAATTGGAGACTCGCATGTGTACGATCTCGGAGACGGCTTTTCGCGTGCAGCGAAAGTTACGAGGTAGGTAAATTTGTACGTAGATTTCATGGACAATTCCCGTGAATATTATTTTAAACAAATTTAAAACAATCCCCAAATAGGGGAATTGCACGAGTTGCCAGGACTAGTCTCGATATTTGTCTTGGTCTTGTCTCGAACTTCAAGACAAGACAAGATTTTAAATTATCAAGATAATAATAAAACGAAATTGTCAAGATTATCACGACTTTGAACTCAAAAGAAAATTTAAATTACAGTTATATACGTCCGTGAGAATAAACTCAGATAAAATTTAAACTATTGTATAACTTAACAAATCTGTCGTCGTTCGAAAATAATTTTTAGTTAACGCTGTCCCTAAGAATTTCATGTCGGGAAATATCCTGTGATGTTTCTCGCGCGTTCGAGGGGCTTTCTATGCGTGCTTCTCGAACGGGGGAATCGCTGGAATTTAGATTTCGCGTCGAAATAGGAGTGCTGGTAACGAGACTCGGCTCTGGAGGTGGCGTTTGAATCAGCAGTGATCTTTCCGGATGCACCGACGGGTCTTTGATTAACGCGTCGTACGACGACGTGATTTGCGGGCAATTATCGGGATCTGCCGATTCATTGCTCTCGTAATGTGGCGTTAAGCTTGAAATACGATGAAGTATAACTCGGGGTATCATTTGCTCACACTTTTTCACTAGCAAATCCTTATGCCTTACACGGGGCGACGATTTGACGCTTTCAACGTTATCACTTTCCGAATTAATTTTGTCTTTCAGCCTCCTGAAACATTGGTACATATTTTTGTTCCGATAATTTGCGTTATATAACAACAACGTGCATATATTTCTAATGTCCATTTCTACCAGTACGGATTGGCTTTAATCTCGGTTTAACTTTCTTTTTATCTTTTTCTAGTTCCAAGGCCCGGCTTCATCAACGTCGCCTAACTTTAAGCTTCGTTTAATTCGTTCTTCGTCTCTTTCCAACTGTTACTTTAGAAAGAGACAAACATGGATTAAACCAAGATTAAAGTTAAGCGACGTGAAACCGGGCCTAAGAGTTGGAAAAGGGTAGAAAGTAAATTAAACCGAGACTTAAAGTTAAACCACTCTGATAGTCTTTGAAACAAATATTCAAATAATTTCATTTTGCAGAAGATAAAAAGAGTTTTATATAAAGATACAGTTGCATGTTGAAAATTATTATCTTTAAAAAAAAATTGTAAGAAGCATCGAAGCACGAGAACTTTGAGTGACGATTTTGCATTAAAATAAAATGTACTCTAGAGTCCTTTATAGACTAACGCACATACCGTTGGTAACGATCCATTTCTCTCTCCAATTTAGGATATTCGTCTAGCAAGTCGGCCAGGTGTTCTTTCTCGTATTCCGAGTAAATCTTGAATAACAGACCTTCCGCGTCGTCCTTCAACGGGGACTTCAACGCGAGGAGCTTCTTCTTGAGCGCGATTAACGTGGGCAATAAATTATTTAAATTATATTTCTTCATCGCCGCGATAGCCACGTTCGAGGCGTTGTTGCTAGGCGTGCCCGAGGGAGTCGGGCTCGCCTCGTTGAGCTCCTGCGTGTCGTCCCGGTGTCGTTCGCCGAGGGACGACGGCTGTAGACGATTGTGACCGAGTATGAACATCGCGTCCCTCAAGACGCACGCACCCTCCTCGGTGGTGACGTCGATCGAGTTCTCGTTGCATATCTCGCAAAGTATATACCTGGTCAACTTGACGACCAGCTCGGACCTCGCGGACACGTCCACGTGTTGGAGCATAAACTCGTAGATGACGTGGCGCTTGCCCTGATTCACCCATCCAGGCAGCGTCAGCAGCTTCTTCTCCTGCTCGCGCATTCTGTGCCCGCAGAACGCGTCCCGATAGCGGCAGTTGTTGTAGTGGTATATGCTGTCCACGAAACGCCGGGAGATCAAGTTCTTGTTCTTCACCAGGAGCCGCTCCTCCACCAGGAAGACCGTCAGCTCGCGTATCGTCTTCTCCGCGTCCGACAGCATCGTCAGTATGTGAAAGAAAAACGCGCCCTTCATCTTGATGAAGTCCTCCAGCAGCAGCTGAACGAATATCACCACTATGGCCTCCCTCACGGCCGGATTCGGGTCCTTCATACTGACGCACAGATCCGGCAGGTACGGCTCCACCAGGGCGGTGAATCTCACGCAGATGTCGGCCAGCGCTTTCGCGGCGTTTATCTTGACGGCGGTTCTCGTCCGCAAGCTGGGGTCGTGCGTCTCCTGGCGCATCAAGCTGCCGAGTAACGGCGTCACCTCCTTCGCCACACGGAAGTCTCTCAGCGCCTGCTGGCAGAGGAAGACAACCGCGAACGCCTGCAGGTCCTGCACCTCCTTGACCGCGCTCGGCAGCGAGTCCCATTGCGACAGCAGCCTCTCGAGCACTCGCAGCGTCGACAACGAGATCTTTCTGGTGCACAAGAGCGATGCGTGGCCCAGCGTAAACACAGCCCTGATCTTCACCTTGTCTCGCGCGCGGTCCTCGCGCGCCTCCAGCAAGTCCCGAATCTCCGCCTCCGACAGCTTCATCAGCTCCACCATGTCCGACTCCACCGAGCGGCCGCTGTCGTCGGCGTGCAGGTGCTGCGACACGCCGCCGAGGATGTCCAGGCAGACGCTGATCAGGTTGAAGTGGACCTCGAAGTGGCAGACACACTCGTAGAGATGCCGATGGAGATCCTTGAGGTGATTGCGGTCCAAGGCGGGCCAGGCGTGCCTCAAAACGTCCAGGACCAAACTCGCGTGGAAGTCGTTCTTCCGGACGACCTCCTTGTAATCCGTGACGTAACTCGCTATGTTCGGGATCCTCGTGTTCTCGGCCAGCGCGGCCATCAGTATCCACGCGCCCACGGTGTTGTCCGTGCCGACGTGGGATTGCACCTTCGATATCACAGATTTGGTGAGCGAGCCGTTCCCCACCCACAGGCCGCAGGCCTTGGACAGGTGTTTCCTCATTCTCATTCTGCTCAGCCGGTCCAGGACTCGCCACGGCAGGCTGCCCGCCGCGTCCGGGACGTACGCGGCGGCGTTGGTTATTCGGTTTATCAGCACGCACCCCAGGCACTCGAGCACCTTCTCCTGCATCTTCACCTCGACGTCGTATATCTGCGGCAGAACCGCCTGTATCCACTCGTCGACGAGGCCGGGGTCGTCGGGGAACTGCTGCAGGATCTCCGACAGGACTTGCACGGCGTACTGGCGCACGGTCACGGCGGGATCCCGGCAACGGTCGCTCATCGCGTGCGTCAGCTTGCCGACGAGCGACGGGAACATGGTGCAGAGGTTCTGCGAGATCTTGAGCGCGCTCCGCCGCACCAGCGCCCGCTCCTCGTTGACCCGGTCCAGCAGCATCGCGACGAGGGCGCCCGACCCCGGCAGCGGGTCCACGTCCCCCGTCAGCGCGTCCCTCAGCTCGCCCGGCCCGAGGAACGCCTTGTCCGCGGCCGGCGCCTTGAACATGCCCCTGAGAATGCCCCTGTCGGCCTTGTCGTTGCAGTCGGAGAACGCGGCGAGCGTCGCCATGGCCCTGCCCCTCACCAGCGCGGAATGGTCCTCGCAGCGGGACAACACGATCGCCAACAAGATCTTCCTCAGCTTCAGCCTGACGTCCCCGTCCAGGCTGTCGCCCCGCAGAGGGGACTCCGTCAGGAGCCTGGCCGCGATCTCCTGCGCGAATAATCGGCACAATATCTTGACGTTGTGCGAGAACGATATCAGGTCTCCGAGGAGGCCCACGACCACGTCTATCTCGCATATGTTCAACAGTCTTACTATGACGGCCGCCTGCCTCTGGCGGCCCTCCAGCCTCTCCGGGCACCTCGACATCAGCTGCTGTATCAGAGTCCTGATCGCCTGCACGGTCTCCTTCTCGTGGACCCTGAGCAGGTTCTTGAGGAAGTGCACGCCCGCCTCGTGCACGACGGTGACCGTGCGCGGCTGCGCGTTCGCGTGATGGAACAGCATGTCGGGCAGCATGTACTCCGCTATCAGCATCACCGTCACCGCGACGGACCCGTGGTTGCTGCTGCACAGCTCGTGCAGCGCCGCGAACGCGCTCCGCTGCAGGGCCGATCCGAAGTTGCCGCGGGACTTGTGCATCTCCAGCCTCGTCACGTCCAGCAGCGCGCGTATCGTGACGCTCCGCGACACGGCGTGCTCCTTAAAGCGAAACGACCTCAGCATCGCGACGAGGTCGGAAATGACGCCGCTCAGCGCTCTCGCGAGGTGCGACCTGTCGGCGTGCGACGAGCCGTAACGGTCCGACGACAGTTCGTCGCTGCAGCCCACCGTCGCGTCCGTCTCCCTGCTGCTCTCGGCGCGTACGAACAGGTCCTCGGACAGCTTGAGCGTCTCGATCGCCCGCTGGTACAGGTTCGGATGGTAGACCCCGAAGGCGTTGCTGCCGGGAACGGCGAGGAGCGTGAGGTACAGACTCGTGGCCTCCAGGCAGGCCCGCCTGGAGTCCTCGTCGGTGTCTGCCTGTTGGCCCGCCTTTATTATGTAACCCAGCATGGCGAGCAGACCGCGCACGTTGACGCCGAGGATCATCAGCGTCTGCCACGAGAACTCGGGACGCTCCTCCGCGCCGGCAGCCTCGTGCGAGGCGAGACATACCTTCAGGACGTGGCGGGACTCGTGCAGCAGCAGCCGCGCGTCCTGGCTCTCGAGGTACTCGAGCCACTCGTCGGGCGGCTCGTCGCAGCCGACGAACTCGGCGTCCCAGACCGACTTCACCCAGCCGTCGTCCAGGGTGTCCAGCTTGAATTCGCGAAACACGCGCAGCGAGTCCATGGCTCCGATTTCCAAAGCTCGCCCGCTATCGGCCGCCTCTCTCTCTCTCTCTCTCGCCCTCTCTCTCACCGCGCGCTGCCCCTGCGGATGTAAATATAACCTTAAACTTATCTCGTCGTAGATAGAGCGCCCGCAGATAGGGACTCGGCGGGGTTTCAGGTTATCATCCACCGAATGAGCGTCGACGGCGATTTCGCGGCTCCGTCCCCGTGGTACGAGTGGCCGGTGGGTGTCTTCTCGAAAAGTTTGCCCGATTTCTCAATCCCATCTCGCCTTGTTACGGGACGCGCGAGGCGAACAACAGCACGTCGGCGTCCATGCACGGGCGGGAAACTGAGCGACCAATCGTCCGCGGATCCCGCGGAGCGCCTCATATGATCTGTATATGTATACAATCACACTCCTCGCAGCCTCACGCACACCACGATTGCAAGATGCACATGTGCGAGCGCATCTGTACAAATGAAATTGTACTTTCGCAGACGTGTGTGCATAAATGTTAATTTTCACTAAAAGCAGCGATGAAATACATTAATTATAATTGCGTATACATAAAGTAATCCCATTAATAATAAAATTCAATAAATAATTGTATACGCGACGTTGGTGCAACCGGGCCTTAAACACACGTAGATAGCTGTAAAATCTCAATCGCTAGGCCATTCATTTAGGTCCAGTTTCACAAACGTCGGTTAACTGTTAACCAGAGTTCAGTCGACTTCCTATCTTTCTCTATCTTGTTATCCAAGAAGAGACAGAGGATCAATTAACCATGGGTTAGCGGTTAAACGACGTTTGTGAAACTGGCCCTTAGATTTATCCGCGCAACATTCGACTTTGTACTTTCGCAGACGTGTGTGCATAAATGTTAATTTCC